ATGTTATATGAGATAAATAAGTGTAACTTATTTATATGTTATATGAGATAAATAAGTGTAACTTATTTATATGTTATATGAGATAAATAAGTGTAGGGGTGTAACTACATCGTGATGACTATAGTTAACAATACTGTATTGTATATTTGAAAGTTGCTAAAAGAGTTGATCTTAAAAGTTCTCATCACGAGGAAAAAAATTTGTAGCTATATGAGATGATGGATGTTAACTTACTATGGTAATCATTTAGCGATATATGCATATATCAAATCATTATGTTATACACTTTAAACTTATACAGTGTTATACATCAATTATATCTCAATAAAACTGGAAAAAAATTAAACCTGACTACAAGTTGTTTAAAAACAATTCTGCAGGACGGCTAAAAATAAAAAGAGGGAAAGAGAAAGGAGGAGGAGATTAGAGAGTGTTAACCACATGAAGTAGAATTCAACATAGAAAGCAACAAATGGGACGAAGGTTAGGTTTAGTTTGATAATGTATAGTTCAAAATGAAGATATGAGACTCTTCTTGCAATGAATAACACAACCTTGAGCTGTGAAAAACACATCAGAAACAAAGATAATCTGACAGTTGTATAATATTGGTGGGAACCATGAGCAAGGCTTTTTCTGATGGACAGACCAAGTCCATGAAAGACATCTGAGGTGTCTGGGAAAAACCCAAAGGCAGGCACTTTTTGGTTGAATCCCATAATTGTATGTCCATTCTCTTTCAGTTGTTACAAAATGTATAAGAAACAAGACTAAAAAAGTTATTTTCTTAAACAAGCAGCTGACAAATGATCAAGCCAGCTTTTGGGCCAAACTGTTTTTTTTTTTTTTTTTGTAAAAACGATGAGAATATTTTAAAACTGAGGAAGTGCTGATGCCTTTTAGAATTGATGACTTCAAGGTAAGATGGGAGAGGAGGGATCTGGACGGAGGGAAGGGAGACTGTCCTCCTGGGCCCGTCCTTAAGAATTATGCCAGCTCTGGAAAACTTAGCTCAGCTCCTCTCTGCTACCTCCCACCCCCACCACAAGCACACTGATGGGAGAGACTGGTCTGACACAACTGGAGGTCTTGCTGTCTTAGACTCCCCCCTCCTGCCATTCCTAATGCTTTGTCTTCTCTCCCTTTCTCCCTTCTCTTGGGGGCTTGAAGGTCCTTTGGGGTGTGGAGCAAAAAAATAAAAAACAGATCACTCTCCACCCAGGCCCTTTGTAGAACTAGAATATCATTCCTGTGATGGGACAGACTTCAATAACGTAACATCACCTGCTTGTGCCTGCAAGAGCCAGTCTGCTCATGACGGCTTTGGGTTGCTTGTTGTGCCATGAGCTAGCCATGTTTGTGACTGACAGTATTAAACCTTCTTGCATTCCTGGAATAAGCCTTATAGCCTAACTTGGCCATGGCTTAATTTTTTTTTATTTGTCCTGGGTTTTACTTGGTAGCATTTTATTTGGGATTTCAGCACCTATGTTGATAAGTGAAATTAGTCTGTAGTTCTTTGTGTTATCTTTGTCAGGTTTTAGTATTAGGTTTTAACTGCCTTATAAAAATGCATTGGGAATCTTCATCTTTTTATGATGTGGAGTAATTTCTTTTTTATTGATGTATAATTGACATATAACATTATATTAGTCTCAGGTGTACAATATAGAGATTCAACATTTGTATATATTTTGAAATGATCACCACAATCACTCTAGTTAACATCCATCACCATACATAGTTACAAATTTTTTTTTCTTATGATGAGAACTTTTAAGATCTCTCATAGCAACTTTCAAATATGCAGTATGGTATTATTAACTATAGTCACCATGCTGTACATTACATTCCCATGACTTATTTATTTAGGAGTAATTTCTTAAAAAATGCTTCCCACTAGCTGGGGCGGGGAGGGAGGGAGACAGGTTACAGGTACAGATACTGATCCTTTCAGCCTCAAGGGGCCTACACGGCTAGAGCCCCAGGGGAGTGAGCTCCCATTACAGCAGTCTTGACTCTTCATCCCAGTGTGGTGTATAAATATTTCCATTTTCTATGATCCATGTAGTGAAAAAGTTAGGGCAACACTGTATTGTAGCATGGGTTCTAGTCAAAAGAAAAAATGTCGACCCCACACTAAGAATTGGGAGAAGGCTCTGTTCATCTTCTCTGGGGCTTGGGAATTTTCTCTGGCACTTCCCATTTAAATCAGATCTGGTCGTTTCCCATCTTTTTGACAAGGTCTGGAGTCTTCAGGGGAGATGGCCCTGCCAGGTACCTCCACTGGGGGTGAGACCAGGTTAGCCCAATTTAGCAACAGGTGAACATATACCCAGCAGCTGTGTTCGCCTGCCTGGAAGTCAGCACACTTCTCTCCAACTCTCCTGCCCGACACTTTAAGCACATGATGTTTGACCTTATTAAGTCAAACTCACTTTTAAAACTGGATGCTCATGTGAGCCTTGTTTCCCAAATGTATAACCCCATAATTGCCATGCTCTCTCTAAAATGTGGCAATCTTTTGCCATCTTGTTGGTTCCTTTATTACCAAGTGAACACATTTTGACATGGGCTTAAATTTTTTTGTCTCAATTGAAATATTAAAGAATTCATCTGTAAAACCACCTCAGCCCAGCATCTTCTTTTAGCTGTGGTTCCTGTGATTTTTAAGGAATATTCTTCTACTTTTTTCTTGTTTGTTGGCTTATTCGGCTGTTGGAGAGAGATTCCTGAGATGTAATAAAAGGTAGCCGGCCCTGAGTGGTTCTTGGGTGTCCTTTGTTTCACGTAGAGTAACCTCATCTAATTCTGAGAACCACTCAGTGAGTCCCAATTTCCAGGTGGGAAAACAGGCTTCCAAGTATTCGAAGAGAACCCTACGGTGCTGCAACAACAAAAAATACACGTCCGGGCCAGGACCTGGCCCCCGAGGCCGCAGTCTGCGAGCTTTTGTGGTGACAAGAATGCCCGTGACAGGGACCTAGAGGGCCCTGGCCTGCCAGTTGAGGGCCAGGTGGGAGGAGAGCCGAGACCGGAAGCCTTTACCGCAGGTGGAGGTCGGGGGAATGCTGCCAGGAGGCCACGGAGACCGGCATCAGTGGCTAGGGAGACCCTTCCTCACCCCCAAGGCCGCGAGGTGGAGGCCGGCTAAGCGGGAGAAAAGGGCAGGGGCCGGCACGCAGCCACTCTGCACCGCGGGACGAGTAAGACGGTGGACAGGCGCCTCCCTGGGCCCCCGGCGTCGCGTGAGCCGGGCGCAGAGCGCGCCCCGTGACGCCTGCGCCCGCAGCTCCTCCCCCGCGCCCCTGTCTGCCCCGCCCCCCGGCTCCCGGGCGCTCGGCGCGGGGCGGCCGGCCGTTGTCCGGGCCGTTGGCGCCCACGAGGTTTCTGGAAGCCTCGAGGCGGGCGCGGGCGGGGAGCGGGCGGCGGGGCGCCGTGCCGTCCAGGCTGGAGGACGGAGCGCGTCGCCTGGGGTGCGTGGCGGGCCGGGCCTGTCTGCGGCGCTGAACCGGGCAGGAGGCCCGCACTCTAGGAAACTCCGTTTTTGCGCCAAAAGTTTACTCTGAGTGAGTAGCGACGGGAAGAGCGGCGAGGGGCGCGGCCGCGACGGTGCGCGTCTCTCCAGGGCAGCGCGCCCGCCGGCGCTGAGGCGCCGGGAAGATGCTCGAGGTCCTGGTGCTGAAGGTGAGCCAGCGCGAAGCCCCCGGGCCGACGTGGACCTCTCCCCGTGCGCGCTCCGCCCCGGCTGGGGGCGCCGGATACGATCCCGACTCTTAATTTCAGATAACTACGTGAAATTTTAGCTCAGGTGTGGCAAGCCACTAATTGGGACGTACTTAGAGTAAAAAGTTATTCTTTCTTTCTCCGAAATTCAGATTTAACCGGGTGTCCTGTATCTAACCCACTCTGGAACCTTAGAGGAGGGCCGGACGGTAACCCCTTCTCCCACGCGCCCCGTCCCGGATAGGCTTTGGGTGAGGGCCCCCTCGTGCCCCTGGTCCGTGGGCACGGGGACCCTGACGTGTTCCTCCCCCCACGCTGGTCCTCTCCGGTGGGTCCCCACCCTGTGGCCCCTCGAGGCTCCGCCCGGGATAGGGGTAGGGGTGTCACACCCCCCGCGCCCCGGCTTCACTCGCGGGGAGCCCTGCCCACTCGCGCCGGGGGACTCCGGCGGACCCCCTCCCCACGCAGGCGCTCCGGGCTCTGATCCTCGGAGTGGGGGGTGGCGGCGGGGGTCGCCCCGTGGGCCTGGGAAGCGCGCCGCACAGCTGCAGTGTCGTCTTTGAGTCGGCTGAGTGCTTCTTGGTGATGCAGGAGACTCTGAAGGCCTGGTGTGTTCACTGTGTTACTCGGAGGAAGGAGCTTACGAAGCAGAGCAAAGGGGTGGGTTTCCGTTACTGGGAAAAGGAAATATAAATCACTTGAAAAAAATCATATTTTAGTGGACAGGGGAGAGGGACGTAGCAAATGATGGGGTTTTTAAAAACCATCAGCTTTCCTGTTTTACGATTTATGTAATTTATATGAACAGAGATTCACAGATGTTTGAAGTAGCTGACTCTTAGGATTAGCTCTGAGACCTTTAGGGATTTCAGATCCAACTGGCAAGCTCTTCTCCACCATCAGTCTTAAATATGCTAGTCCGATTTCTCCTTTAGGAAAAGACAGGGCATTCCGGGGATCCGGACCCTGCCACGTGCAAATCCACTGGGGCAGAACTTTGGCGGAAGGAGCTGGACTCGCACTTCCTGGAGCTTGGGAACCCCCCTCTTCCCAGGTGGACCGAAGAACCCTTTTCTCTGTCGGGTCAGCTCTGGCCTGCCCCTACTTCCGGTTCTTACTCTGCTCGCGCTGAGCACAGTTTCTATCCAATATAGGAGTATTTCCCCAGTTGTCGCACAGGCACTATTTGTAGTTCTCCGGCTTAATTTAACTTTTACATGGATAAAAAATTTGCCCCCAAGTGTCCATCAACAGATGAATGGATGAACAAAATGTAATATATGCTTGTGATGGGATATTATTCAGCCTTAAAAAGGAAGGAAATTCTGACACATGCTACATACAACGTGGGTGAACCTTGAGGACGCTGTGTTAAGTGAAATAAGCCAGATTCAAAAGGACAAATACTGTATGAGTCCACCTATATGAGGTGCCTAGAGTAGTCAGATTCATAGAGACAGACAGTAGAATGGTGTTTGCCAGGGCCTGAGGAGAGGGGCAAATGAATAGGGAGTTACTGTATAGTGGGTACAGTTTGTTTTGCAAGATGAAAAGAGTTCTGGAGATGGATGGTGATGAAGGTAGCACAACAATGTGAATGTAGCTAATGCCACTGCATATGGGGTTAAGATGGTAAATTTTGTGTGTAGTTTACAATTAAAAATAACCATTAAAAATTTTTTATGTATTTGTTGTAATATATTTAGAAGTAAAAACATAACTAGCATTACACATCTGTTAGGATGAGGCTAATGAAGACAAAAGTGTTGATTAAAAATGTATATTGAGAAAACAGCCCAGGCAACATGCAGTTGTGTCAGAAGTTAGTAAGGCAGAGTGCGGTGAGACTTGAGTGGGGGTGGTGGGCATGTGGGCTTGTTCTCCCAGAAGGGCTGCAAGAGAAAAGGATTAGCAGTGTTGTCCTTGATCAGAAAGGGGACAGCACCGGGAAGTCCCAGGGCCATTGGTCTTACAGTTGAGCTGTGTTAGTCGACAGGACCACTTAACATTTTAGGACAGCTAGGCATGCGCCCTTCAAGTGGACAGCTTGTGCTGGGAGGGAGCGAAACAAGCTCTTACAAACACGGGTGAAATTCTGAAAGCTGCAGGCTGTGACCTCCCTAATGTGCTCAGAACCAGCTATTCTGCTGGCTGCCATAAATGATGCACTACTGTCCATGAAATCTGCCAACAGTATTTCAGGAGTATTCCTGCTGGAGCTGCTTACCAGGTTGCTGGTTTGTGCAGAGGAGGCGGTGCTGAGACTGCAGCAGCAGCTGACCAAGGACCTCTCAGGACAGCAGGTCTATAAGTGGGCCAAGTGTTATTTAGTCTGGAATTTTCATGTGTTAAAATTAACATCTTAATTTTTACAATTGACGTTGGAAAGTGTAAGTTTAACTAAAATATCTGAAGTTACTATGGAAATACCATGTACTAAGGGGAATTTAACACGAATTGAAGATTAGATGATGTTATAAATCAGTTTATATATACATATGTCAGTTACTGATGTTATAAATTACACTTATACACACTCTTTACTGAATGTGGAAAAAGACACTCATTACATAGCTACTCAGATAAATAAAAGTAAAGGGAAATAACATGTAGGAAAGATGAGTTACTGTTCCTGGGAAATATTTTCAATTAAATCCAATTAATTTAATGATGTGAGGTATTTAGTTATCACGCCAGATATATGAATCTGCTTTTACTTGAGTAAAACTTAAGTATTCAAGTTTGAATGGTAGAGCTAAAGGAGAAGAAAGTGGACCAAAATGTTATATAGAGAATATTTTTTTAATGGAAATAAAATAGACATGCAGAAAAAAGAAAAGAAATGTGTGAGGCTAATGACTGCAATGTGAGCGGCATAGCTTTATAACACCCGTGGGGGCCACAGGCCGGTGCTTGGTGCAGGAGGTGGAGGCCGGAGGAGGTGTGAGCCCATCCCCTCCGGATAAAGCACGTGGAAGAAACTGCAACTGTGAACCATTTGTTCTCCTGGCTGGTAAAACTGAGCCCAGCCTGTCTGTGCTAGGTTTTAGAAGCAGATTTTTAAATAATGAAACATGCTAGCAACTTCAAAGGGTCTATGGTACCTTAAAAAAATTTTTTTTAAACATTTTTCCCCAACTCAATATTTTTGAAGATTTTCAAACATAAAAACAAGTTAAAAAACAATGTTGAGAATAATCATATACCCAACACCTAGACTCAACAATTGATAACATTTGGTCACATTTACGTATTTGTTTGTAAATGTACATATATAAAATTTTGTTTTTTGCTGAACCATCTGAGAACTAGTTGAGAACTCGAGTTACTCAGGTATTTCCCAAGAACAAAGACTTTTCTCATACATAACCACAATGTAATTATCACACTTGAGAAATTTGACAGTGATTCAGTACTATTGCCTCATATATAGTCCGTACACAAATTTATCCAGTTGTTCCAATTATGTCTTGTGCAACTTGTTGTCTCTGATCCAGGATCCAATTAAAGATTATGTGTTGTATTTAGTGGTCATGGCGTTTTTAGTCTCCTAAAATTTAAGTCAGTTGCCTGGCTTTCTTATATCTTTGTTGTCATTGACATTTATGTAGAGCAAGGGCAGTTGCTTTGCAAAATATCCCTCAATTTGGATTTGTCCGTCTGTTTCCTAATGATGTGTTTAGGTTTAGTAAAAATACTGCATAGATGATGTCACATCAGAGGACAAGCTTTTTTAAAATATCATTACTTTTGATTAAAGATAATTTAAAAATCTAACTTTTTATTAGGAAATATTCTCGACATACAAAAAAGTATAGAAAATATCATAAACACCTGGACATTCACCACCTAGCTTTGTTACATTTTAACATTTTGCCATATTTGCTTTACATCTTTTTTCTTTTACCTGTAAACTATTTTGTAAATTGAGGTATAATTTATATATAGTAAAATTCATTATTTTTAATGAGAATTCTGTGATATTTTGAAAAATGCATACAATCATGTAATCACCACCACAATTAAAATACAAAACAGTTCCATCATCCCCCCAAATTACCTTGTGCTCCTTTGTAGTCATTTCTTTCCCCCATCCCTAGTACTTGGCAACCACTGATCTCTTTTCTTCCCTATTAGTTTTGCCTTTTCCAGAGTGTCATAAAAATGGAATTGTGCATATGGAATCATTAAGTAGTATGTAGCCTTTGAGTCTGGCTTCTTTCACTTAATATAATGTATTTGAGACTAATTTATCTTGTTGTGTATATCAGTAGTGTCTTCCTTTTTATTGCTAAGTAGTATTCCATTGTATAGATATGTGACAATTTGTTTGTACAATCACCGGCTGAAGGCCATTTGAGTTGTTTCCAGTTCTGGGAGATTATAAATAAAGCTGCTGTAAACTTTGCATACAGGCTTTTGCATGAACACAAGTTTTCATTTCATGGGTAAATAACTAGGCTTGGGTTATCTGTGTATTTAACTTTATGAGAAACTTTTCCAAAGTAAGTGTCCCGTTTTGCATTCCCATCGGCAGTGTGTGAGAGTTCTAGTTGCTCTGCATCCTCACCAGCACTTGATATTGTCAGTGTTATATATATTAGCCATTCTAGTAGGTGTTTAATGGTGTCTCATTGTGGTTTTAATTGGCATTTCCCTAACGACAAATGGGGTGTTAATCATCTTTTCATGTACCTGTTTGCCATCCTTCCATCTTTTTTGGTCAAGTGTCTGTTTTGTTTTCTTATTATTTTTAGAATTCTTTATATATTCTGGTTAAAGTTCTTTGTTCGGTATGTGATTTGCAAATATTTTCTCCCAGTTTGTGGCTTATGTTTTCTTTCTCTTAACAATGTCTTTCAAAGAGCAGAAGTTTTTAATTTGGAATAAGTCTAATTTATCAATTTTTGCTTATACAAATTATACTTTTGGTGTTATATCTAATAAATCTTTGCCTAATC